AGTAATTATGAATTTTTTTGATGAAATGGTAACAGTATTTATTTAATTACTAAAAAGTGACTTAAGAAATCTTCTTATAATTTAATATGTATTTAATAAGATAATTACGATGATAATTATAGACAGGTAAAATATTATAAATTCAATTTATTAAATCATTTTAATGATATAATATCACAACGTGTGAGAGATCCAAATTATAAATATGACATTACAAACATATAAAAAGTCATCAATATAATATTACAACGTGTAAGAGATTATAAACATAATATTATAATTATGTGAGAGATTATAACAAAACTAAAATAAAACTTTAAAATTTAAATAATAAAATAATAAAAGGAATATTTAAATATTTTAAATGTATTAAATTCAAAAGGATATTATTATTAAAGAAGTTTATTTTTGAATTAATAATATTTAGAACTTAATTAATTAACTAATTAACTTGTTAATTGACTGAGTTATTGATTGATTTTTCTAAGTTAAAATACATGCTTTTTTTATATAAAATTGTTAAATCAAAACTACCAATGATATTCACAAGAAAATTGCTTATTTGCTTGCTTGCTCACTTGTTTGCTTGCTCACTTGCTTGCTCACTTGTTCGCTCACTTGTTCGCTCACTTGGTCACTCATCTTGTAATCTAATATAATATAGATCATCTAGTATAATCTAAATAAATGATCTACATATTATTTGTAAATAATAATATAAATATAATATAATATATAAATAATAATATAAATAATAATGTAATACAAAATGTAAATATAAAGATCTTAACTAATTAAAATATAAATATGTATTCTCAAAATTATCCAATAAGATTAAATGATAATTTTGACTAATAATTAATATGAAATTTCATTATACAACAATATTGTGTATTATTGTATTATATTATATTAATATAATATAAAAATATGTATAAATACAAGTGCTAATAATTAATAAAATTCAAGTTCTCTTGTTCTTATTTAATATTTTCTTGGTTTTATTTTAAGTTCTTTTGGTTTAATTTTAAGTTTATTTAGTTTGATTATGTTAATTTGATTTAATTTTAGAAATTAAAAGTAATTTTTGATTAAGTTTTCTTTTAGTTTAGTCTTGTTTTAAGTTTAATTTTATTATTATTATCTCTAATTTATTAAAAAAACATTTTTATTTCATCATAAATATCATTCAGTTATAAATTCAAAGTAAATTACTATAAATATAATTATTATTACCTTTTTAAAATACTTTCATATGCAAAAGTTCAAAAATAATAACAATATACAATATTATTAAATCAAAAAATTTCTGTTCAAAAATTAATCAAATTGCTTAATTTTTACAAATCAAGCAATTTGATTGATTTTTTTAATAAAAATTTTTTGATTTGATGTTATATATTTTATTTTTAAATAAAAAATATAATCAAATACTAAAAATAATATAAAAATTATATTCAAATATGTTTTATTTAATATAAATATTAATTATATTTTGTATAATTTTTATTAAAAGTAATTATTTATTAATTTTTATTTTTTATGTATCAATATTTTTGTATTGAATTATATTTTAAAATAAAATTCTAGTTATAACAAAAAAAATTACAGATTATTTGATTTGAAATAAATTTATTAAAATATCTAATTAATATTAGATATAAAGTATTAGGATTATAATTAGAACTAAGATTAAAATCATATATAAAATTATTTTTCTAATATTTTTTAATATGTTAAATTAGATTTAGATATTTATTTTTGTATTTTTTAATTTTCTTGTACCAAATTTGTTTTGCCAAATTAATAAAAAATTTGCTATATTTTTATTGATTATGTAGAATTTTTGCATATTCTTATTGATTTGATTAATTTAATATTACATAATTCATAATTTTTTTTGTCATAGCTAGAATATTTATTATAAGATTTGATATTTACTAATTTCTCTTTTAAGTTCTGATTGAACACAAATAATTTTCATTACTGATTGATTAACTATATACTGGATCTTTTAAATTAATCTGGCAAAATAAATTCAATACAAAAAAATTAAAAAAACAAATAATATAAAAAATACGAAAAATAAATGCTTAAATCTAATTTGAAACACTAATAAAAAATGTTGAAAAAATAATTTTACATATAATTTTTTTTACAATTTTATAATTTTAACACTAAATTAATCTTTAATATTCTTAACCAATCAAGAACTTAGAGAGAAATTAGTAAATTCTAAGATTTGCATTTTCAAACTTGGAGTTATGGCACAGTATTAATAATTTTGATGACTTCTATTTCATTTTTTCAAATGACATATAATCATCTTCTGGTTGAGAGTTAACTTCAGATATTGCTCCAATTTCCACCAAATATTGTGAGAGAACATCTGTTGAGAAGTTATCCATTTCTACTCAGACATGTTGGATGTTTCATAATGTGTTTAGAAAAATTGTCTATTGACAAGAAATATATAAAATTGTAGATAATTACAGTAATTTATTAACACATCTCTATAGCGAAGATTTTAAAAATCCCTTATTATAAACTATTATTAATAAAGAGTCTACTTCTTAACGAATTCAACGAAATTGAACGGAACCCTTCGTTAAAGTGAATTTCACTGTGTAGTATATAAATCCCGTCGATTTCATTGTAATAGATATGAGCTAATTGTGCTTTCCATTATCATTGTGGCGGCAATTTCATACTAACAAGTTTTTTCAAGATCATCACTAAACAAGCTAAGCGAAAGGAGAATGTTCTACATTCCCAAGAAATTCTTGGCAAACAAAAAGTTCACGTTATAAGGAATCGTAATATTTGCTTTTTCAACAATTGGGAGAAAGTTCGTCCGTATCAACAATTGGTCGATGTTATTGCATCACTGATGTTAATTCTCTTTCTCTTTCTTCAATTCTGCCACCTCAGGTGATATCAGAAATCAGTCTTCAAGTAATTTCACAAACAAACGGCTACCACCAATGTGGAGATGAGGTATTCTTTGACCCAATCACCAAAATCAAATTAAAAGCAACGAAGCAATCGTACAATTTTCTGGATTCCAAAATTGTTCCAACGAACCACTTAGATACCTGATCAATTGCGTGATATTTCAACATCCATTCATCCATTAGGAAAAGAAATGGAAACATGACCTTAAGAAACGAACCATTCGTCATGGTGGGAAATTATCTTTGCCCAATACGATTGAATTTTTTACTAGAAAGACTTTAAATGTAATTCAACAAGATGCATGGCAAAAGTAATTTAATGTTGACAGAATAATAACGAATTTTATTATTCTTGATGATACCAGAATATTCTGATCATGCAATTTTCCTCCTTTAATTGACTATGTATATAACATTTTTTGAGAATTATTAAAAACTAAATTAGTGAAATTGTTCAGTATCTTATTAACCTGTTACTTCTGTCATCATTTTTTTGTTTTAGCTTTCTTTTTTGGCGGTTCATTATCTTCTTGTTCACTTGACGATGATGATCCTGATCCTTGATAATTTTCATCGTACTCTTCTGCAACGTCACTATCACTTTCTTCCACCACGAAATCTTCGTCCACTATAATAAAAAATATTTAACGATAAAATCACGTAAAACACACGAGAAAACTTGAACTCTTACCGCTCTCGTCCTCGTCCTCTTCGTTATCAACTTCCATTGATTGAGGATCGCCACGTCGTCTAAACCGTGGCATGACTTCGTCCTCCTCATCTGTATCTCCAAGTTCTTCAATGGCTTTATAAGCAAACATACTCTGTAAATATTCAAATATACAGAATAACAACGAATTAATTCCGATTCGGAAAGTCCATTGATAAAATACAATAATATTAAAAGTAAGTACACATACATCTTCGGTCATGTCGTTTTGTGCGTTGATATTCTTAGACTTCATCCATTCTTCGATATTTTTATGCTCTTCCCTATATACAAAGATTATAATTCTTATATCAGAAGAAAAAAAAATCGAAAAAAACTCTACGAGACAAAATCCCACCTATTTATACTAGAGAACTGGATCTCCGTCTTATTCTTTAGATTAAACTTCAAGTCAAATGTTCGTGAACTAGACGCACTACTAGACACTCTTGAGAACGTGACACTGAGAATGTCCTGTATGGGAATAAACGTCGGCGGTTTCGGTATAAATAGAAAACATTTCTCGAGCGGGTAAAGATATCCTTCGTTGGCTTTCATTGAACATTTGAACGCAGAGTTTCCGTGATGACTGTACGTGCGCATTTAAAACAGCGAGTGTGGATTTTAATCACAGAAACAAATGGATATATAAAATATTGATGGGTTTTCGTAATGTTTACCTACGATATGACCCAGGTACAGTAACTTTTCTCTGTGTCAACCCTTTAAAGACACTACTGACCACCTCGAACAACGGTTTGTCTTCGTATTTTTCCTCTAATTTATTATTGTAATTTTTTTCGATCGTCTCTCTGTTGGAAAAAATAAATTCACGAATGTTAATTAAAAGCTTGTGACAATTTCTTGTAAAAATAACCGGATACATACTTGTCAATATTCAATTCCATATCAACTTTCATATCTTTGACAAATTGCGAGACGAGAAACGGGTACCGCGTTTGTCCTTGTCGAAGTGGTGGATCAAGTCCTATCTATTTAATATATAGTATTTATCTCGATCGATTAAACAAAACTCAAATTAAATAATTACTACAAACCACAAACATGACGTGGACATCATCCAACTTTGGTAATAGAAACAATTTTATGACGCTCGTATACTGAATTTTATAATCATACGTCTTGCCACGCAGTCGTAAAAACGTGGGAAACATATCGATATCGTAGCGTCCACTAATATAGATACAAAGAATAATTAATAAGGAAGACAAATAGTCGTTTGTAAGATTAAAAATTTACCGTGGTGTCAAAAGTAAAATATCCGAAAACAATATTATTCCTTCTCCGCTCACTTGTCCGAGATCTGCTTTTTCTTTAACCATTTCATGGAACATCTATCCAAAGGAATGAGAACAGAATACAATCGTGAATAATTACATCAGCAATATGTTTAGAATAGAAAAAACCTACAGAAGCAGCACTAATCTCTTCAGTAGCCTCTTCTTCCTCCTCCTCTTCCTCCTCCTCTCCTTCTGCTTTCTCTGACGTCTCTCCATTTTCTTTTATTTTCTCTTTACCCTTTGCCTTCTTTTTGTTCTTCTCATCATCCTCGCCATCACCTTCGTCACCGCCGGTAACAGTCACCGTGCCCGGGATATAAAATCTCATTTCTACTAATTCGTGGACCTGGGCTTTTTTTGATGCACCACGTTGTGCATCTTCATCCATTTGTTCGGGTTGCATGAATTCTAAGCTGACTTCATTTCTGCTGGCGAGATTGGTGTTCGCTACCTGGTTTAAGGGTAGTTCAAATGCTGTCTTGTTACCCACATTGAAAAGCAGTTGTGAACCTTTTTTTTGGATCAAAAATTTGAAATTAACCAGAATGTCTCTAATTAACTAAGAATTCATGGTAGAAATGATTCATGTTTTTGAGAAATAGTTGCGATTTATCTATTTACCTTGAAAATCCGTTTTTCCCCAGTTCCAACCTCTGACACTGAGTTCTTTGATTTCAAGGTTCAATCGATAATTTAATTTTATTAATTCTCTCAATGTATCGAAATCCTATTAAACAAAAAACCCAACAAAAATCAAAAAAATGCAAGAATCGGGATTTATTCCGGACATAATAAATTAGTGTTTCGGGCGAAACTCGCCCAATTTGATCTACGAGGTGCTTCCAAATTAGGGTTTTGGATAGTTTCGGATTTATAGGACGAAACTGAAAGTTCACTGGGTGAAACGTTTCGGCTTTTGAAAAACAGCTTCGCCCGAAACACTATGATAAATCTTTTAAATGCCCAAAAATACTCACATCCCTGAGAAACCCATCAAATTTCAATGCGTCCCCGTTTTTAAGTTGAATTCGCAGTTGGTAATTACGAGCCACATGAATCCATTGCATTCTTTTGAAATCCTCCGCGGGAACGGTTAATATTGTCTCTGCTATCGGAGTTTTCCAACCTAGACCTATAGGCGCGAGTTTGAGTACTCCTGGTTCTGAGGCAAGGTCGTGGTAGATATTGTCAAATTGAATCGATTTTGTTTCTCCCATTGTTTCTTTATGGTTTAGAAATGAGACGGAAAATATTATCGAATCGAAAAAGTTAGAGGTGGGACGCGTCGTTTTATGTTGAAAAATAGACGAATCGGATTAGATGTTAATTTTATTATCGCGGAAAAATTTCCGAAAATTATAAAGAATCTAACGCCAATATTTTGCATAGACAACAATACCAAACAAATAATAATGGCCCAAATAATACTTGGAAGTTCGAATCGTCAACGCCTCGAACCGTACCTCCTCCTCTCAAAATCGGCAAAAGGAGCTGCATCCGTGAAGCTAATCAAGGAGGCACTCGCAGCACCTGGGGTATACGTGTTTGCAGAATTGTTGGAAATGCCAAACATTGTCGAGGTATTTTAGTTGTTTAGATAAAGTTACAGAGTAGGAGACGAAAAAGGAGAATTATCCTTTACACGAAAAAAGTTCACTACGGTTAAATTAAATTTAACATGCTTTGATTTATTTACTTATTTTAAAAGCTCAAGGACACTGATAATGAACAACATATGTCGTATCATACTTTATTGCGTTTGTTTTCGTATGGGACGTATAAGGATTATAAAGGTGACTGAATGAACATTAATTTCGATTCTACCGATTCCTCGCTATTTACTTGTCTCTCTTGAATATTAATTTTTTATTAATTATTCTTCGATGATGATTTTTATCGTGTAGAAAATGCTGAGACATTGCCAAAACTAGAGACAGCCCAACTTAACAAACTTAAGCATTTATCCATCGTTTCTTTGTCAGAAGAATCACGAGTAAATTTAGTTTCTTTTATCTTTTTCTCTCTTTGTCTTATCTTGAATTGCTTGCGTCATCTCACTCGATAACGATAATACTGATAAAACAAAAAAAAAGACAATCCCATACGATATACTCTTGCAGTACCTCGACATCTCAAATGTACGTGAGCTCGAAGATTTGATCATCGAGGCAATCTACCAAGACGTGATCAAAGGTAAACTAGATCAGAAAAAGAAGCAGCTAGAGATTGAGTATACGATGGGTAGAGACCTTCGACCTGGTCAGATTGATCATATGTTGCAGGTGCTTGCTGCGTGGTATGTTAATGTTAATTTTTGCAAACTGCTTCCGTTTGTCGACTTGAAAGACTACTTCTCAGTAAGGTTTATTGGATTTCATTCCTTCTTCCATCCCGGCCGGTTTCACATATATACATATATATATGACAATAATACGCTCACAAGGTCTCAAACATCCGAAGAAATACTTAGAAATATTGAAGCAAAAATTCAACATGTCAAAGACGCAGCCGCGGCCAATAAAGGTGAGAAAGAGAAATACGAGGCGGAACTGGAGAAGGCACGAAAGAATGTTAAAGTTACAAAGAACAGTGGCGGGATTCTTGACCATGGTGGAATGGATCAGATGGATATTATACCTGGTGGGATCGAACAGTTCCATAGTCACGAGTACGCGGATGAGAATTCAAGAGGTTCCCGGGTTGGAAAAAGGTATTTATTTTTTCTTGAAACCTTTGTATACTTTTTTATTTTTTTCGTCGAGTGTCGTAAAAAAATGAGATGGAAAGTTTTTTGGAACGGACAAAGATTGTGTTTTTTTTTATTTGTTTGTTGGCAAAAGATGCACTACCTTTTTTTCTATGTCAATTTTGATATCTTGCTGAACCGTTGTGAACAGGAAACGTAATCGACATCGTTGAATACAAAAAAACGTTTCCTTTCTTCCTTTTCCCACCCCAAATATACATACACACTTTACTCGAATGTTATCGTCATCATCTCAATTAAAACCAAAAAAATAAATAAATACAGGGGACCAAAACGATTCTTACCCGTACCCGGACGCCGATAGAATGTTGTTACCACCATCTATGCGCACGCTTGAAGTCATTGTCGTCGTGGTCGTCTTCGTTGTTGTGTTTAATAAAAAAAGAAGATTTGTGTACCATAATAATATTGAAAATATTTTATATGTTGGATGTCTGATTGAGGCCATTATCACCACCACCACTATAACAACACAAACCACCACAACACGATTAATTAATATCTGGGGAAATTCTAATTGGAATATTTCACAAACAAGTTAATTAACTATATTTGTGCTAGCTACATTATTGATAATAGAGAAAGGTGACATTTGCTTTTCTAGTCATTCATTCTGATAAATAATCAATATGTAGAAGATGTTACAAAATCTAAATAATATATCGATATCATTTGAATATTCTCATTGTTGAGTACAATTACGGTCAAAACTGGATATAACGAAGGTGACCGGATAATTAGTAAAAATTTTTGGAATCTTCGTTATATAGAGATTTACTATACTTTTTTATTATAACGAACTATTAAGTTATTGCAAAATTCAAACTTCGTTATATCGAGCTTTTAATTACACTTCGTTATAACCAGAGTTCGTTACAACCAGGTTTGACTGTATACAGCGAACTCCGTTTAATGAATCCGGGGAGGAATTAAGACAAATATATTCTCACGGTGCATACCGATCGCATATACATATTTTTCTGCTAAAATAGCCACCCAAATGGAATAAACGTAATGAATATCGGGAAAAGTATATTGTTTTTGTCTATCATTATGAAATACTGTGCATACTTGCATATTTCTATATATGTATCTATTTAAAAAGCTAAAAATAACATGTGATGATTAGTGGCAGTTTTTTTCTTTATATAAGTATCGTGTGTTGAACTATTGCACACTAAAATTGATATTTTTAAATATATAAAAAATGGATAAATTAATTAATAATACGGAAAAAGAACTGTTGTCTTCCTCTACGACACCACAAACTCATACACACCACCAGCGCCCAACCTCAATTCCTTTTTCCTGCTCGTTAACAACAGACCACAATCGTATGCAAGGCCCACAAAGACGCCTTTCTTACGACCGAAACCTATATAAACGTGACATGTATATACGTTCATATTCGGACCAAAGTTCGACATCCAGTTCAGCCACCATTAACAACTTGCCCACTTCATCAACAACCCTGGTTGAATCTCAGAGTTTTGAAGATCACTCGAACGGATTTTCTAGTCCGAAACTCGCACCGATGATAAATAATAATCAGCAAAAACGTGATGTGTCGCCGCTTAGAGAACCGAAATCTGATGAAGGGAAACATATTACTGAGAAGTTCTTGTTTAAAAAGGACTGGTAATTGAGTGTTGAATCACTATTAATCAGCATTTATCGTTTGATTCATGTGATTCACGTGAGTAGTGGGAAAAATGTGTATATATGATTCTACTATTACGAAAATTAATAAAATACATCTTACTACTGATTTTCAATTTATTTTTTATTTTTATATATTTTCCAGCCGCCAATAATACATTTAATATTATATTGTAACTAAATTATGAAGACGCGTTTTGGCGCGAAATTGTTCAAATAGAGATAATATATAATATAAAAATAATATATAATATAAAAATAATATATAATATATAATATAAAAATAATATATAATATAAAAATAATAAAAAGCCTATAATTATATTATCAAAACTATCTTCCAAGTACTTAATTGATGATACCATTATGAATTATGCCGTCTCGCTAGTACTCAAATAACTCCAGCAGCCATCTGCTGTCGAAAATACTGGACAGTTTCATTGATACCCTGTTTAAGTGACCACCGCGGACTCCACCCCAAAAACTCTGAAGCGCGCGAAATATCAGGTTTCCGCTGCTTTGGATCATCAGTGGTCGCAGGTAACGTGGTGTACTTGCATTTCGGGTTCACCTCATTTTTAATGAATTCAGCAAACTCAAAAATCGTGTACTCGTCCGGATTTCCGAGATTCACCGGTTCCCTGTAATCGTTGTTCATCAATAGTATAAGACCATCGATCAGATCGTGGATATACTGAAACGATCGAGTTTGTTGTCCATCCCCATAAATTGTTAAATTTTCGCCTTTTAACGCTTGCATAATGAAATTGCTTACTACGCGACCGTCGTTCTCGTTCATACGCGGTCCAAATGTGTTGAATATGCGCGCTACTCGAACATCCACGTTGTCTTGCTGCATGTATCCGTATGTCAGAGTTTCGGCGACTCGCTTGCCTTCGTCGTAGCATGCTCGCGGGCCTATTGGATTTACATTACCCCAATATGTTTCTGGTTGTGGATGTTCCTCTGGGTCACCATAAACTTCTAAAATTTAAAATTCATCATATAATTAATATTAATTTTACTCTCTAAAAGATTATCATAATAAAAAATGTGTCACCGGATGTAGAAGTCAACAGAAATCGCGCTTTAACTCTTTTAGCAAGACCCAACATATTAATAGTCCCCATCACACTAGTTTTTATCGTCTTAATAGGATTATACTGATAATGCGGCGGGGAAGCCGGACATGCCAAATGATAAATCTGGTCAACCTCAATCATGTATGGATCCACCACATCATGTCGAATCAACTCGAAATTCGGATGTCCAATCCAATGATCAAGATTATTCTTTCGCCCGGTGAAAAAATTATCAATGACCGTCACTTCGTGTCCCATTAGCATTAGGCGGTCGACTAAATGTGAGCCGACAAATCCTGCGCCGCCTGTCACAAGTATACGCTTTTTCTCACACAGACTCAATGATTTTACTGGGACAAAAGAACGCGCTTTCAGATATGATATTGTTCGTGTCCCGGAGTCGAAGAGTCGGTAGTGTGGATGTTCTGGGAGGTAAATGTAGCGTAGGAGGTCTAGTGGAACCACGGAATTTACAGAGGGGTGGCCGACAGTCACTATTGTTTTGCTATCTTTTGCGTATATCGAGTCTTCGCTAAGACTCCATAGTTGTTGTCCGTTTTGCCAGTGGTCTGTGATTGTTTTGATATCGGATTTACAGCTATTAACGTTATGATTGTTGAGAATTTCACTAATAATATTATTACCACTGTTGCTGGCAGTAGCACTAATATGGTTATTATTGACTGACTTTTTTTTATCACTTTCAGAATCAGCAGTAGCACTACTATTATTAAATTTATTATGCACGGCCTCAATATCGTTAGAAGAGGAGGAAGAAACAATGTCGTTAGAATCCATTGTTAGTGTGAAAATTATTTATGTTCAAAATAGTAGATATTATTATCATCACACAATTATCCATTAAGAGCATCGATTAGTTTTGTTTGCGTCATTTCAAAAATTAAAGAAATTCATCAAAATGTGGATAATCGAGTACTTGAACAACGGCGAAACCTATAAATTGTGGTTACGACCTGGAAAATCGTACATTATCTCAAGACCAGGTACGTTAGCAATCTTTCTTTGTCTAATAATTCAATTCAAACTCAGCTCATATTCTTATGAAAATGCAGAACTCGTTGACCAAATCAAACAATTCCCAAAGGTTGTGATTATAGACGTCGAAGAGAACACATTGGGAATATCTTCGTCGTTAACACGACGGCTCAAAGTAACTCTTATTGAAATAGACAATGTCCACTTTGTAAAAAACAAACCGAGCCGAACTGAAAGAATTTTAAATGAAGGGGATACGATTGATATGACGTACTCGGAGATTCAGTTTCGGTAATAATGACAATTATAATGTTCGTTTTGAATGCATTCTATATATGTATTTGATTCGCGGTGGTGAATAGAACGTGTCCTGATCTTAATATTTGTATATAGACTGGCATATGAGCCTGTAATAGTATATTACGAGAACTTGCCGAGTGAGAAGGAGATTGAAGTTCTAGAAGCATGCAAAAAAACGGGTATAAAGGTTCTAGTAGGCAACGCACAAAAATTGAAAAAATGCACACATTTCGTTTGTGCTGTAGCCTCATGCACCGAAACAATAATGATCGCACTGATCAAAGGCATTCATATCGTTGACTCGACATGGCTGTCTGAACTTGCATCCGAAGAATATATGGAAAGAATGCAAGGTTTCTACACGCTTCCAAATTACGGACCACATCTACCACCAATGTCTTTCTCAATACCCACCTCACCATCATCGCCTTCCACAATAACAAAAGATAACCGTGTACTTTTAGCAAACGATAAACGCCGCACACTATTCAAAGACACGGTATTCATCTCACTTGACGAAAGCGACCCGTCTCTCTCCTCAAACACAAAACTAATTCAAGAAGGCGGTGGTACCGTTATCAAAATGGATCTCGAGCCGAATATCAGCGAATACGATTTCAATGTGCTTATGGCAACGGATTTACTGGCACTTCAGAATACATTGAAGAACACAATCCAGAAATTTAAGATCTTGACGCCAATGAATAATAGATTGTATAAGTTCACTGAAAATTACGCGAGATCGAACACTTGTGGAAGGATAATAAATGGGATGACCGAGATTCCAATGGCTATACTTTTGGCAAATGCGGAGTGTTATTGTTCTCCGTGGCAGGATTTGGGATTTGTTCAAAATGACGAAGATACGTCTTCGTCTGATGATAATAAATATTATGATCATGTCCTTCTGCAGCCTCCTCTTTCTGAATGGGTGCTTTTCGAAGTAAATTATCATTAATAGAATTATTAAATGAGAGATGAAAATTTCTACCAAAAAAATTATTTCTTTTGTACTTTTCTACGTTACAATTTTTCCTTAATGTACACGAATAAATATAAATATCGACTAATAGACTAATAGAACGGATATAATATTTATGTAAAATATAGAAACGAGTTATTTTATTCAAAAAAATTTGACAAAGCTCAGAAACACGACGCTTTCATGGACAAACCAAGCGGTTGGTATCTTTCGACATAAAAGTTTGCATTTTTCGCCGCTCCAGGAAGGTGAGCGCCCGCGGCCATTAAGGGGACGATGACCAAAGCATCTAAAGAAATGTTGAATACACCTCCAATATCATTGGCTATACTGTTCGATGCGTGCGATTCTCTGCAACTTCTGATTTCTCGGATGGGAACTGCCCTGGTGAATCGATACTACGCGTCACCACTATGCCTGCGACCCGGTCAAAGTCGGAAGGACCCGTCCGGGGGACACTCGCTTGTTATGGTGCAACAACATACAAGAGCATCCCCGGACGTATCCTTCTCCTTTCGACCAGGGTCATAGGCATAGGAGTAACGCGCAGCGTTGATTCACCAACCTCATCTTGATGTGAGGCAGGGCGGTCCCCATTCAAGCAATTAGAGGTTGCAAAGAATCGCACACTCGAACAGTATAGCCAATGATATTGGCGGTATTCAACATTTCTTTAGATGCGTTGGTCGTCATCTTTTAATGATCACCTTCTTGGAGCGGCGAAAAATGCAAACTTTTGTATCGAAAGACATGACTTTCTTCACAAACCCACGGGTTTGAGAACTAAAGACCTGCCTTTTCTGAATTTATAGTTGTGGAGTCGTTCTTGGTGAAAATAGTGAAAGAAAAAGATAGCATTAGTATAGGTCAAAAAAATTCAGCATATATGACCTATTGATTGCCTGCCCTAACCGTGCATGTTATAATGGGACTAAAGGTCCAGACCATAACACACTTCACACTTCAGACAAGAAACACTTTGCCTTGTGCAAAAAAAAATCGCTCAGTAACAAACAACTGCAGGGCATGGTCTAAAGTCTTCAAGGTAGCTGCCTTGAAATAACAGCGGCTTTCGACTGGCAGACGCTACTTATTTGCGCAAGTGATACAAAGGATGTGACAAATACATATTAGGGTAGGTTATTACACTTTCCCGACATTTTAATGCTAATAAGTGCTCAAGCTATATATATCCCATAGCTAGCTTTTAGTATGCCTAAATCCCTAATTAAAAACATCGGGAAGCAATTTTACTAACTCGGAGTAGTAAATTTTTTAAAACCAATCTAATTACAAAAGTAATTGATCATCAATTTTAGCCAATGAAAACGAAAGCTATTCCAGATAAAATCGTTATTGGTTAAAAAATGACATATGGGCGGGAAATTTCTCAATAGAGAACACAATATGTGAGTCATAATCCAAAAAGGTAACGATAATCGATACACACACCAACTACTTGTAGATCACATTTTGTCAAAGAACAATTTGACCGATTTGATTGAAAAAAACCATGAAACAATCGGTTCGTTTCAATACTACAGAGGACGACGACGATCAAGGTGAACATGAACGAAACGTCAAACATTCTAACTTTAAATCGTCGTCACGCTCAAATAGCGCTAGTAATAGTAATGGCAAAGTTTCTCACCGTTCATTCCATGGAAAAACATTTAAAGTGCACGGATTTGAAGGCGAAAAAAGAGATAATTTAGAAAATTTTATAGAAGAGCATGGCGGTACTGTGTTGGATACCGTTGACGAGCAAGTAGGTATTTTATTCCTGGAAGCAGATTTCTTTAAAGCAAAGGAAGAGTTCAATGTCTCTACTACCTTGTGGCTCTCAAGCTTATATATATGTTTTTGTGAAACTTATTATATTTTCAATTTATAATATTATGTTCAATTTTTAGTTTAACATTTGCCATAATTTACACACTTTTAGACTTCGTATGTGGTCACGTCAAAAACTCAAATGGAAACAAATTCCCCAGAATACGAAGAATTAATTGGGTATAACAGCAACGCCAAAATTGTCGACGATAAATTTGTATATAATAAAGTATATGTAAAATACAAAAGGTAAATAGAGATCTTTCATATTTGATTTGATTTTCTTTGAAAGATTATGTTGTTGATTATTGATTCTTTGATTAATCTGCTAAATAATTTAGTGGGTCTCCAAGTGTCCGAAACAGACGAGGAAGCTACGACCAAGAAGGGGAAGATGTCGTCGAAGGCGACGAAGAAGATGAGGGTATACAACAACGCAGGTCTCGTTTTTCTAATGGTAATAATCGAAAATCAAGAAGAAATGGTAATCAGAAAAATACGGGAAGTCATTCAAAGAAAAGGTTTCCGAAATCAGGGAATTATCGTGATAATTATTTTGCGCGTAATGGGTTAGATCGTGAGGATGAGGAAGGAAAAGATGACGAGGAGGGCGAATACTTTCCTAGGCGCACAAAAAAACAATGGGAGGATGAGTCGGCATCAGGATCTGATGATTCTGAAAATATCCAGGCGCCTGGTTATTCTATGGGCAATGAACCGGAAGTTGATAACAACGAATACTTTGATAATCTTTTTGCTAGCGATGCTAGTTTAACAGGTGACGCGAAAAAAGAACGTATCGCTTGGCAGAGCATGTTGTCGTCTGTGCTCACCGGGGAGGTAATCAAATCAGAAAAAAGGCGTCTTTCCGGCTCGAATTCAGAACAAGCCGCAAACACAAACTACCAAATATGGCTTGGCGTACGTGCAATCACGCGATGTCATTTGGTTACTGAAGAAAAATCTATTGTGGAACAGATGCGACAGAATATTGATGAGGTTCTTCAGGAAGTAATCGATTTCGCGGTGAAACCTGGACATGTGCCGGCTTTGGATCAAGTAAAGGAAATTTTGGAAAGAGTGCGTCGATGCGAGACTTTGTATCCCTCGCGTAGGGCAATGATGAATGACAAACCACTGTATAAGTCAAAAGAATGTCAATATAGTTTGGACGCGCTCAATTCCTGGCTCACAATTACAGAAAGTTTGCAGACACAACTAAAAATTCTGCAAAATTGGACTGGAAGTGAAACGCTTGAAATAGCTCGACCAAAGGATGCACCTGCTAATGCTGAAAACTCATCTTTCATAGAGAGAATCCTAAAAGAAAACGGATTGAAACGTACGTTTGATAAACAGACACTTTATACTTTACATTCACTATTAGCCAAAGCCAAGCTTGTCATGATCGACAACGCCAACGCGTTTGCCAAAATGAATCTCCCTCCATATAGAGACGAACTACAAAAACTATTAAACTTCCCCACAAAGCTTATGGAAGAATGTATGAAATTGCTACTTGAATATCCTACACTAACAGAACCAACTATTTTGATGATTGAACAACAAATGGAGGATTTTCGAGTATCACTTGAGCTCGCTTGTAAAATAAAACATCAATATCTGGAACTTATTAAACCGGCACCTGGGTGGGAAATTCCACCTTGCATCGATGAGAATTATAATTTTGTATTACTGAATTTACTACAGTTCTATTTTAAATTGTTGCAATGGAAGCTTAAGGATGGCGCAAAAACCCTCTTCTTTAAGGAAGCTGAAATTCTAGAATACGAATGGTCTTTTCTTAGTGAAATATGTCAGCAAATTGGCGGTGGCGATTCTGTGACAGCAGAACAAGTATGGTAAGCTTTGCCTAATGAGGTTTTCTATTTTTTTTTGCCTTTTCGACAAAACAAGATACTTTGATTTATATCTGTTGTGTTTGTTACTTGGGATATTTGAATTCGAAGAGGGAGAGGAATCAAGCAATGAATGAATAATCAGATGTGTATGTATATGGGGTGGCGTCAGTAGAAGAGGGATAAATTTATTTGAGTAATTTGTCCCTTTTCTACTGACTCCACCCCATATGCATATGACAAACTGAGCAAATCAAATTTGTTTACTAATATACTGTATTTATAGTTCATTAACTAGAACACTACTTCTGAGTGTCATGAAATACTTTGAATCGCAATTAACTCTTCCCGCTAAGTTGGATGCAAACGATATCACAAAACGGTACAACAAAATTTTGGAAACTGTACGATTGAGGGCGCGTAAAATATTACGATTCACAAAGTATGATTCGTCGATCTATTGATATGCCCAAATACACCAATCCTGTCGAAATTTACAAGAAAATGATATTCTTTATCTCTACTTTAGATTTCTATTTGGAAATTTAGAAAATTCCGCGGATTACTTTATCGATGACGCTAATTATCCGGCCTTCATTGAAGCTCTGGAGCGTTCAAATCATGTGTTAGTCTATCCGGACACTTTTGAAGAGAACGGTGTATGTATAGTTGTTGATCCGTCGCTGGAATGTCAACCAGAAATGATTAGAAAATTGCTTAAAGCTGTCTTCCCACTATATGAAAAACAACCAGATAATCATGACGAGGAATTAGAAGATTTAAAGTATCTTTTGATTCTGTCGCCAAGAGTGCCATTTGAATGGAACGGTCCTTACGTGAACATATCATTGGAAGGCATCAATATCGAGTTAAAAAACCATCGTACAAGGCTAGTAGCGGATGCTGCTTACCCTCGTCTTCAAGCATGCAGACAAAAATTCAGAACAGCTGTTGAAGGAGTCGAAATTCAATGCGTGTCTGAATCGCGTGCCAATGTACAAAGCGTCAATCGCGAAATGCAAAGAATCAAGAAAACCATCAATAGTTTTGTCACTTATATAATCGAAAGCGTCAGTCATATTCGTGAGATTATGAAGAATATTGAATGCCAAGAACTGATTGAAAACTTTTTCAGTTTTGCTGCGGAATTCGGTCAAAGATGCATGCGTTATATGCATCATCACAAAGCTCGGAATGAGCTCAATATAAAGCTTAATCAGTTAGCGATCGATTGGGTTAGCTTTATTTGTGATGATTGTGAGCCAACCGATCGAAAAACATTTCGATGGGCTGTAATTGCTTTGGAATTTGCTATGGCGACAAATCGTGGCTTTAATATTCTGGGTCTTGAAGAATCTGACTTTTCTATGCTACGAAGCAAAGTGTCAATCTGCATGACATTGCTTATTTCGCATTTTGACATTCTCGGTGCTCGTTCAACACACGAAACTCAAGAACGGCAGCGACAAGAAGCAGCCGTCAGAATTGGCATGCCAAAATACTCTTTACAAGATTACGATAAAGATTCCAAACTCGACGGCGAGGAAGCATTAATAGCACGTGATGAATGGATAGCCAGTCTAAAAAGGCTCGAGGCTGAACTAGCGAAAAAAAAACTGGATCAAGGACTAGTCGGCAAAGTACTCGATGACAATCAACCTGAAAATAAACAACTTGTATTTCTTGCGTCATCCAGCACGAATATTAGTCTTCGGTGGCAGCAGGGTAAATTTTTAGGCGGTGGAACTTTTGGATCGGTGTACGTGGCCACAAACATGGATTCTGGCGAAGTTATGGCTGTCAAGGAAATTCGTTTTCAAGACCCGTCTTCGTTGTCGACACTGGTAAAGTCGGTCAAGGAAGAAATGTCTGTCATGGAGTTGCTTAATCATCCAAATATCGTTAGTTATTATGGAATCGAAGTACATCGTGATAGAGTTTATATATTTATGGAGTATTGTCAAGGTGGATCGTTGGGTTCCTTGCTTGAACATGGTCGTATAGAGGCTGAGTATTGGATACAGTTTTACACTTATCAAATGTTGTTGGGATTAATATATTTGCACGAGAATAATATTGTCCATAGGGATATAAAACCGGATAGTGAGTATTAGAGCATTGACAGAAAAAAAAGAGGTTTATTTTTGTCATTTAATTACAATTTATTCTTTTTTTATATCAAAAAGACATATTACTTGATCACGAAGGTAATATAAAGTTTGTAGACTTTGGCGCGGCTAAAATCCTCGCAAAAAATCAAAAGACTTTGGGTCGGACGATTGTACATCAAAAAACACATGTACACAGTCTTACGGGAACCCCAATGTACATGGTTCGTTGTTTTTTCTTAAATTTTAGATGCGCTGCTATATTATCTTATCTCTAAACGTATATAACATATATGTATGTGCTTCTACCTTTGTAATTTAAATAAATAGGCACCAGAAATCATCACAGGCGAAGAAAAAGGCCGAAAAGGTTCAATGGACATCTGGTCATTAGGATGTTGTGTGCTCGAGATGGCAACCGGCCGACGTCCATGGTCAAACCTCGATAACGAATGGGCAGTAATGTACCACGTAGTGACTGGCCACCCGCCACTTCCCGATCCATCTCAATTATCCGAACTAGGAATGGACTTTTTAAAGAAATGTTTTACGCGATCGTCTGCTGAACGCCCAACTGCCAGAGAACTGTTGGAGCACTCGTGGATACAAGAACAACTAGAGACTCGAGGTGACGAGAGTGTTTCGACTGATTGGACGCCAATGTCTAGTGATGCACCAAGTAGCAATGGCACTACAATATCAAATAGTTTGTGTTTAATTCCTTAATCCCCTTTGAGTGGTTTTAAAAAAATGCATTTATTATTTTTTTACTGTTGTTGATTTGATATTATTCTCTTTTCCTTATTTTCAGCAACTGGCACCAGCGATTCGGGTCCTTATTTTGCGTCGACGAATATGACACCTGATGATGAAACGTTAGTCGAAAGTGATAGAGAGCAAGGACCGAAAACTTTAAATATCAAAAATGATGATAGGTCATCATCACCTAATAATGACTTGGTGGAAAGTGACACGAAGATAGTTAAAGTTGTTGTTAATCAATATTTATAAGCATGATGACGTAGGCGTATATTTCTGAGAAATAAGATGGTTTCTCGGCGACGAAGCGTATTAAAGAAGTTATGGAAAACCTTATTTTGTTTTAATCTGGACATTATTAATTAGAGAAGCTTTATTTTTATTTATTCTAATTAATTTAATTATTTATTTATTTTAATGATTTGCAACAAGAATTTTGGTTACTATTTTGATCGTTTATCTATTTCGATATTTATATTAATATTATTTAGATCAAATTAGATAAACATACAGTGTGCACCCCCTCCGGGACCATAGTAAAAAACAGGCAGAGTGGGTGTGCATTTATTAAGTAAAATAACTTGGAATCAAGTCATACCGTGCATTTAGAGAATTTATATATTGCGTGCATTTATACTGTAATTGAATTAAAATGTATGGAAAATCTTGATCTCCATATACTCACAATTTCTTTTAATAACAACTAATTCATGACGAAAAATTTTCATATTATAGAATTGCTATTACTCCGTTTTTAAATACTCTTTCCGTAATCTGCGGCACTCTGCGCTATGCAGACAATCATCGTCTCTGCCTGCGAATATCATGATTATGCAACGTCTTTAATCATGTTGCATCAACATGCGAACCTGCATATAACATACTTTCTAAAAAATAAAGTTTTTATCACAGTTAACCCGCCTGTTTATAGCGCTATAAATTAAAATCTGTATTTGTAATTCAATTTCTTCTAAATGAAGCTATAAAAAGCTTCTCAATTTGAATTGGAATTGATGAATAAAAAGGAGGTTAAAATTTAACGTTAGTAATCATCGCATAACCAATCTGTGGCTGATGCACACATGTTCAGGTAAGGAACAAAAGAACAAACCCTTTTATAATAACGATGACGAAATACATTACGACACAGGGATTCTTTCCATTATCGTCCATCAATTGATCGATTCCCATTGTACGTACTGTACAACAACAATTTATAATAACTTACCCCACACAGCAAACCATTTTGACATTTTATTAATTAGGTGTTTCATTACTGAATTAATCATATGTGCGTAGTGCATTGCTGAATTTAATCATATGTGTAGTGCATAATAAAGTATAATAAGAGACAGGAATGACGGAAAAATACCAATACATCGTCTTCGTCTGATAATTTGTTCTCTGAACTTTAAATAACACACGCCGACGAAAATACGGCGACACGAAAAAAACTCTCATACACAACAGATAAGAGAAAGTACACAGCAGGACACTCCCGCAGAGCAATAATACAATTTTTTTCGTTGAATAAAACAATTTTTGCTTTTTTCTGTTTCTTTACCCGTTAACTTGGGTCTTGCTTTTTTATTTATTAATTGTATTTATATAATTTATTTTTTGTATTTTATATATATATATATATAATTTAATTTATTTAATTTTTATCAATCTAATTTATCTTATTCTATTAAACCGTTATAAAAAAGAATTTAGTTTCAATTTTGACCAAATTTATACCAACAACATACATTCAAATCCATTAAATTTTCATATGTCGTTTCTTCGGTTGGACATTTATTACTACCATCATCACCACTATCACCAACATACCTTAAAAACGACAAATAATAATAACTTCTGTAACAACAGCAGCAACAACAATAATAATAACAGCAGCAGCAGCAGCAACAACAACAATAGCAGCAACAATAACAATAACAATAACAACAACAACAGCAGCAGCAGTAACAACAATCGCGCAGTATACTTCTCATTAAAAGATACAAAACCCAACGTAATTATATAGTAAATATTAAAAAAAATGATGCTAAAACAGCGAATTCTCTTTTGGTACCTGGAGACCATTGTCTACTCAAAATTAGTGAACATTGTGGTGCCGGAGTTGGGTGACTTGATTGTGACGAATTTTTTGATTACGTTGGTTCATCGACTGGTTCATAAATCTAGAATTTCGGAATTGATGGTATATATCTTCTTGTTTATTTGCTCTTTATTTTCTAGTAATCATCAAATTAATCTTACTAATTTACTTTTAGACAATTTCTATAATCGAGTTAGTTAACAACAAAAACGTGACACTTGTGCATGAGGTTATAAAAGGAGAAATAATAGAAGATCGTTATCAAAAGCAAGAAAAACAACAACCACAGCAAAATACAAAACAACTATCATTAAAATTATCGTCTAATAATAATCATCATCATCACCATAATCATCATAATAATAATAATAATCATAACAATAATCATAATGATCATAATAACAATAACAATAATAATAATCATCATCATCATAATAATAATCTCAAAAAAGAAATAACAGTGGTATCAGATATATCAAAAGCTGCTGATATACTACAGCCAACGCTCATAGATCGAATAAAAGAAGAGAACAAACAATTATTAGCTAGACTTTCAAACATGGAAAATGTACGAAAATCTTCATCGTTTAGTAGCCCACAACGAAAGAGCTTTTTTGAAGATACAGATAATGACTCTGAAAGCGATCCGCCTATTCAATTTGTTCAATCACCAAAATTATTAGCAACAACTAATTATCAGAACGATCAAATTAACGCTATTCCAAGAAATCCACGAGAAAAAAAACGAGCACGAATAGCGAGCAAAAAATCAAAACAACAAGAGACCGAAATATTTAATGATGTCGATGTCATTGATGAAGCATTATACGCGGAAGCTATTAATGAACCAGTTGATTCGTATGATGGTGAATTACGATCACCGATATTTCATACTTCATATTCTGGTTACATGACATCGAATAGTGGCGCTTCATTATTTTATAATAATAGTCGACAAGAAGGAAATCTATCTTCGCCTTCAAGTGACCATTTCGATACTGATTTGACTGATTATTCGTCTGATGAGAATGGCGATTATGATGATCCAAATAACGATCAACAATCGGTTGTGGTGGTTGATGAAAAAGAAGAATCTACAAGAATTGAATATTATAAAAACAAATTATATAATATGTTGGAAGAATTTGATCCGGAGAATTTATATTCGATGAAACTAGTGAATAATGGGTACGTTTATTTCTTTTGATTTATTATTTAATTAATTTATATATTTATTGACTGTAAATTCTTTTCTATATTTCAGTGGATCTGGTAAAGTGTATAAAGCAACTCCTAAAAATACCATCAACAGCACCACACCTTCCTTTTCAACCTTTACAATCGCCAACAACATAAAAAACATAATCAACAAATCGATAGCCATAAAAACAGTCTCACTTCCCGAATCAAGACTGCTAAACATAACATACGCTGAAGTGACAGCATCGCGAGTACTACGTCACCAAAACATCGTGCAAAATATATCACAATATCGAACTCCTGATGATACATTATGTCTACTAATGGAGTACTGTTCGCACGGAAGTCTATGGGACCTGCGCAACAAAAAATTCAATAATACTAAACGAAAAATGACCGAATCGGAGATCGCATTCATTCTACGCGAAATTCTGCTGGGAGTGAAGTATCTACATGAATTGGGATTTATACATCGTGATGTTAAAGCGCAGAATGTGTTAGTGACCGAAGAGGGTCGGATAAAGATTGGTAATTGTAATTTATTTATATTTTGATAAAGATCTTTATTTACATTTATTAATAAATTGGTTTTGTTTCTATTGAATTTTTATTAGCTGATTTTGGATCAATATCTCTGCAATCGCGTGCTGCTCTTAAAGTTGGCACGTTATATTGGATGGCACCAGAAGTACTATTCGATGAGATATACGACAATAAAGTCGACATCTGGTCATTGGGTATCACCGCAATAGAATTAGTTGAAGGTAGACCACCGTGGTATTCGTTAGGTCAACTAAGGGTAAATTATCAATCATTATCGTAAATTGACTAATTAATTACAATACTAATGATAAATGATTATTTATATCAACTAGGTTCTACAGTTAATCAAAGCTGTAGGAACTCCACCACTCCCGGCAAACATTTCCTCCGAATTCGAATCTTTTCTCCGCGATTGTCTGACTGTTCAACCTAGTGAACGGCCTAGTGCTTCAGAATTACTGATGCATCCTTTTTTGAATTCGGCTAGTCCGTTAGTAATAGATTAGCCGTTTGATTGGATGATTTTTCTTGCTATTGAACGAACAATTGGTTTCTTTGTTTTTTTCTTTTTAAATTAGAGTTAGAATTTTAGATACAAAGATTTTTGTTTGGGATTATAAAAAAATCGGTGAAAACAAGACAGAAGATGGAAGCGCAAAAATTATTTTTTTATTACATGTATTTGAGTTATAGATAGTTTATAGTATAGATTATCCATTTTTTACGTATATGATAGCGTAAAAGTGATGAAATGATTTTCGATCAAATATATTAAATATATTCCAACCCGACCCAACTTTTGTGATTTTTCAAAGAAATTAAAACCAGCACCCACGAATCAGTGGAGAAATTGCCTAGCTCTTGGAAGGTAACCTATGAGAATGTAATCCTAGTAGCGCGTATATATTATCTAGGGTTAAAGCTGGTGTTGCGTGAAAGCGGACATCAGTTTTAAAATCGAACATTTCATGATTGTATCTTGATAAATTATTAATAATTCAATTGACTTGAAGATCGTATAAAGTTTATCGTGCAAGAAATCATTCAGGTCTAGGAATTTCGGTCTTTAATATGTTCAATTCTAGCATTTTAGCAAAAATTTTTAATAAAAATAAAAATATTGGTCTTTCGCACCGTTTCTATCATCATTTCATTAATTCATATTTTTACTTCTCATCTTCATCACTAGCCACAGCCTTAATTTTTTTCTTTCCCTTTCTCACAACTCTGAACTCTTCTTCCTCTTCATCGTCTACACGCGGCTCCGGAATTTCACTACCATTATCATTATTATCATCATCATCATTATTATCATTACTATCATTATTATCATTATCATCTTTATTATCTTTATTGTCATTATTATCATCACCATCATCCAATGGTTTTCCTTCCTCCTCCACAACTAATTCCTCATGATATTGTGGTGACTGTGACCTCCCTTCTACTAATTCCACTGGTTCAGGTTCTTTTTCCGGTTCTGGTTCATCGTCATCAGGCAACAGCGGCTCTTCAAGTTCTTCTTCGTCGTTTTCCACATCATATTCATCTTCCTCAGATTCACTAACATTTTTCCGCTTTCTTTTAGATGATGATGATGTGGATTTTGTAGTGGTTCGAGATTTTCCCCGCTTTGGTCGTTCTTCAGTTTCCTCGTCGGTTGCGACAAATCCAGTATCATCATCATATGAATCGTTGTTTCGCATTGCACGGCGTGCAGCACGACTTTCTTCTTCATTCGAGTCGTATTCATCTCGGTCGTATCTGTTGTAGCCGTCAGATGAGGGACGCGATCTATTGTAATCTCTTCGTGCCCCACTGCCAGTTCTACGCTTGACCCGCGTTATTTTCTCAGCCTAGTAACCACATTATTTATCAATAATTATAAACAAGAACACGTGTTTCATAACAATTAAATATAAATAAAAAACCTTTTCCATTTCTTTTTTCACCATCTCAGGATCTTTATCTGTCAGGATTATTTTTGTTCGCTGATGTTTTACATGTCGTGACGCAATCGACGCTGTTACTCTTCGATGTGTAGCACCACTTGTTGTCGAAGGACGGAATGACATTTTATTTTTCAGTTTCATCTGATAGGCCATAGGCGATTTCTTGGTCATTAGATGACTAGACATTAGGTATTCTTGTGAATCGACTGTTTCGGTGATATTTATGTCCAAGATTTCTTCACCGACTAAGAGAGACATTGAGCCGTCCGACCATTTGACAAAAGCAGCGTTTGATTGCTTTTTCTAGATATATGAACGCGTTTTTTAAACTTTGTGCAAGATATTTTCTTTTTTAAAATTCTATGAGAAAATATGCTTAATAATTTACCAACTCCCCCGTGGATTCATCTTGAGCGTTGCGCCATCGTATCATGTTCGCGACATCACTAACATCTTCGTTCTCGTTATATGTATGCGGATCAAATTTTTTTGAATTTACTGCTAGGAATGTGGGTAATTTTGCCAAGAATATCTTTAAGAGTGGTCAATATGTTCCCCAAATGATAATATTAATATTTTTTCATGACTCCGCTCTTTTCCTCCCTTTCTTACCTTTCTGTTATGAGCATCAGCACGGTGTTTATTAGGAAGAACCAATAGGGGTGATTTCTCTACGTCCGGTGAACCAAAGACTTCTTCATAATCTGTTTCGTGATCTACTGAATGTTGTTTTGGCGAAGAAGTACGTGTTCCTTCTCTTGAACTACATTTATTTTAATTAATTGGTTTAGTTTACAAGTATAAAATGGTAAATGTTCTTTCTAATTATTAATACCTTTATTTTTCCTTTTCGAAAAGGAAATAAAGAGAAAGGTAGATAAATACCGTTCACTTCCAGAACCAAATAGCTCTTGGGTGTCAAGGGGCATACCGCCTCCGACTGAAGAGCCATTATCTGAACCAAATAGTTCATCGAAATCGGAGCCTCGGGTTTTTGGTTTAGTTTCAGGTTGCTTTTTATGAAAAGGAAAGTGGTAGTTGTTATCAAGTGTGTTCTTTATGTATATATTCCCGAAATAATTACTTTTTCTTCTTCAACCGGTGGTGCATCGAAGTCCGAGTCATCTAAAGGCGCGATAGTGGTAGTAAGTTGTGTCCCCTCGTCAGAATCAGACATTATTTATTCAAAATTTTCGAGTTGGATAATAAATATTCCCCAAATTAAACTCCGATCCTTAACGTTAAATGTGGACGATCAACTTATTAACCTCTTGCTTTTCTGGATTCTCTAAGAGAACTTGGAAAAAAAATAATAAACCACCAGCCAAGCAATATCGATATGGGTTTTCATCGTCATATCAAGATTTTAATTAGTCAACTTATTAAATGTGGGGGATCACGGTGAAATTTGCAATATCTATTATAATAAACTATGAATAACAATTATACTCATAAATTTACATAGTATATAGTAATATAAATATATATTTTATGCATTTATCATTATTTTCAAATATTGCTCTTTTATTATAAGAAATTATCGATAATTCTGGCCAAATGATCTCATGATCTGCACAATTTTGGCCAAAATTTTCACCATAATCCGTTTTTCATCATGATCTCCACATTAAATGCTACCTAAAAAAAATTTTTTTTTTTTTGGTTGGTAACTCTTTAAAATTTCGACATTGTAAGATTTACAACTTGATTCAACTTGTGTCAGTGATTTTCAATGGAATAACAATAATCTATTATTTTAATGATATGAAGCACGAAAGCTTGGAGTTGTTATTAACTTGCTTAGTTTATTTTAGTTTATTTTCGTAATTCATAATTTCTTTCTTATTTGTTCTAAACCATCTTCTATTAATCAAGAACATTAACCTTATGTCCTTCCTCCCCGACCTTACTCCCTTAATCAACCAAATCGAAGAATTTAACCAAAATCAGTTTGCGAAAATGAAACACAACTTATCCTGTTTATTTCCACTTCCTTTAAATTTCCTTTTGGTACCGCATAGTATCAAATATAAATTTATTATATATTATATATTAAGAAAGACGTCAAAGATAATTCGGATCATATAAGAAAGTAAACTGGTATCTCTTCATGGTATAATCTTTATTTTTTGAATAGGACATTAAACCATCATTAGGTTTTACTTATATTAATCCGTCGCTTGCGTTGCAAATGTAAGATCATCCAAAGCGCCTTCCTATATAGTGGTCTGTGCACATTAACATTCGGCTCGGACACAATAAAACTCGATGGATCGAATAGTTCAAGATCTTCTTGGCAAAGAGTTACAGATCTTCGGTGTCCCAAGATAGAGAATGATATTACAATGCGACAATCAATAAGATTTTTTTTGCCTCAATAGTTCAGGATCTACTATATGTGCATATACTCAAAGATCACATGTTGTATCAAATATAGAATCATCGTATCATAAAAAAAGAGATCTAAACAATCTTCTGATATAGCAAGCTAATTACTTGCGTTCTAGTGGGTGACTGACGTTTACGTTACGTAAAAATAAATCTTGGGCAGCGGAATCCTTTTTCTCACACTGGTTGACCTTTTTTCCCACAAGTGTCAACAGCGCTTCCTCGAACTGATTTTTACAAATAAAGCTTGAGTTTGCCTGTTGCTCTCAATTATAATTAATTCGAACGAAACGCAGATCTTTAAAATATAAGAAATAATGTATTGCAAGCAAATGTTATCGCGGGTATCTGCGGGCTCTAGGGTAATTTATCAATCTCAAGCTAGCTTCACTAATACTTAATTAATCTATCTATATTTTCTTGTGACTTATTAGACCACTTTGACTCAATGGGTCCGAGCACAAAAATCTATCCGTGGATACGCACAAGTCGTTTCGGCGACTGGTAGTTACGGAAACAAGAAGGTGTCAATGTCAAATCTGGAAAAAGATAAATACATCAATTATCAACGGATCGAAGATAATTTGGCCATAGTGAAAAAGAGGTAGGATATCATGATTTTTTTGTTTACCCGTTGACTCAGTTATTTTATGTCTACATTGGAATTTATATATTCCACAGTTCTCATTCAATTATATCATGATAATGGTGAAGAATTGATATTTGTAATAATAACGATAATATCTTATTTTAGACTTGGACGACCATTGACACTCTCCGAAAAAATAGTCTACGGGCACTTGGATGATCCCGTGAACCAAGAAATAATTCGCGGTAAATCGTATTTGAATCTCCGGCCTGATCGTGTTGCATGTCAAGACGCGACCGCTCAAATGGTACTTCTGCAATTTATATCGGCTGGTATACCTAACGTCGCTGTGCCTACAACTGTTCATTGTGATCACTTGATCGAGGCGCAAATTGGTGGCAATCAAGATTTATCACGCGCCAAAGATATCAATAAGGAAGTTTATGATTTCTTGGCGACCAGTTCGGCAAAATATGATATTGGGTTTTGGCGACCTGGGTCTGGCATTATTCATCAAATTGTCTTGGAAAATTATGCGTTCCCCGGTGGTCTTATGATTGGTACTGATTCGCATACTCCGAATGCCGGTGGTTTGGGTATGGTGGCGGTTGGTGTTGGCGGTGCTGATGCTGTAGATGTTATGGCGGGTATTCCATGGGAATTGAAATGTCCTAACGTGATTGGAGTCAAACTAACTGGAAAAATAAGCGGCTGGACTGCACCAAAAGGTAAACAAAAAAAACATTGATATATTTATTTACCAAAGCAGAAAAATGGTATTAATTTTAATCTCCACCGTTTTTTTTTGGATAGATGTTATTCTTAAAGTAGCCGGTATTCTAACAGTAAAGGGTGGCACTGGTTCCATCGTGGAATACTTTGGACCTGGTGTCGAGTCTTTATCGTGTACTGGTATGGCTACAGTTTGTAATATGGGTGCTGAAATCGGTGCTACAACTTCGCTATTTCCTTTCAATAGTCGTATGGGCGATTACCTTCGTGCAACGAAACGAGGTGAAATTGCTGCGTACGCCGAAAGTTTCGCGCATAACCTACGTGCCGACGAAGGAGCGCAATACGATCACGTCATAGAGATTAACTTGTCAGAATTAGAGCCGCACCTTAACGGGCCATTTACACCCGATCTCGCAACACCACTAAGTAAATTCAAGGATGCAGTCGAAAAGAATAAATGGCCACCGGAGATAAAGGTGGGCTTAATTGGTTCATGTACTAATTCCTCGTATGAAGATATGAGCCGGGCTGCCTCGATCGCCCAAGAAGCGCATAATCATGGATTGAAAACGAAATCTATATTCACAATCACACCCGGTTCGGAACAAATTCGCGCGACAATTGCGCGTGATGGTCAAGAAGAAATTCTAAAGAATGTCGGTGGTCTTGTTTTAGCTAATGCATGTGGCCCCTGTATTGGACAATGGGATCGTCAAGACGTGAAAAAAGGAGAGAAAAATACAATCGTTACATCCTATAATCGTAATTTCACTGGTCGTAACGATGCAAATCCCGCCACACATGCTTTCGTCACATCGCCCGATCTCGTAACAGCGATGGTTTTCGCAGGTGACCTTCGTTTCAATCCAGCCACTGATACACTTATCGGCGCTGACGGAAAACCTTTTAAATTTACCGAGCCTCATGGTACAGAATTACCACCACGTGGCTATGATCCCGGCGAGGACACCTATCAGGCACCACCACCAGCTCGCTCGAACATAAACGTGCTTATTAGTCCAGAGAGTGCTCGTCTTCAATTTCTAGAACCGTTCAAAAAATGGGATGGAAAAGATCCTGAAGAAATGCCAATTTTGATAAAGGTTAAAGGAAAATGCACGACAGATCACATTTCCATGGCTGGTCCCTGGCTTAAATTCCGTGGTCATTTGGATAATATATCAAACAATATGTTGATTGGCGCTGTTAATGCTGAGAATAACGCTGTTAACAACGTCAAGAACATTCTCACTAATGAATACGATACTGTACCGTCCGTTGCTCGGCAATACAAAGCAAATGGTGAGAATTACGGTTTCTTTCATTTTTATCGAGCATGTTTATTATAACTTACCAAATTTCTTTTGATTTCTAGGAATCGGTTGGGTTGTCATAGGAGACGAAAATTACGGCGAAGGTTCCTCTCGTGAACATGCAGCACTCGAAGTACGCCATTTAGGAGGCGTCGCCGTAATAGTGAAATCATTTGCACGTATCCATGAGACTAATCTCAAAAAACAAGGTCTTTTGCCACTCACCTTTGTCAATTCATCTGACTACGATAAAATAGACCCGTCCGATAAAACCTCCATAATCGGCCTGTCTTCCTTCGCCCCCGGAAAGACGTTGACTCTGCGACTTCACAAGGCAAATGGTGCGACCGTGGATGTTCCAGTAAATCACTCTTTCAATCAAAATCAAATCGAATGGTTCAAGGCAGGTTCAGCTTTGAATCGTATGGCCGAAAAAGCAAAATAACTATGACGATGTGATGTATTTTTCTCTTTGAATCATAGTAGTCTTATTATTTATTGTTATTTATGAACAAATCGTGAGTGGATACTACGAGTATAATATATATATATAATATATATATCTCTCTCTATATTAAATTTTTTGTAGTAGAAATTTTTCTAGATTATTGATGTGTTATATTATACATCATTTTGCAAAATTAATTATTAAAATTGTAAAACAATGAATCACAAGTCTAAAAACGATATATATATATATATATTAAATGCCATCGAAAAATAACCACGAAAGAATATAAAAAGCTACACATGAAAAATATATTGACATGGAAAATGAGATCAATGATCGAATTACTGAGGCTTAAAATATTGTGTGTGCGCTATCAGATAAAAGAGCAAAAGTGACGACAATAATAGTTGTGATGTCGATGATGAATGAATTAATAAAAGAAAGTGCAATGACAATGATTGTGATGACGGCTGGTGAAGATTACGATAATAATAGAATTGATAGAAAGAATAACAACAATCACTTAATCACCAGCACCTGACATATCCACTCCGGAAGGTGGTAGGCCAGGACCACCAACGCCGCTCCCGCCACCATTGTTTCCTCCGGCGACGCTAGTCCCACTTGCCTGCCGCTTCGCTTTTTTCGCCCATCGAAGCCCGCACGCATTACATAGCCTACATAAAAAAAGAAATCAAATCAAGTGTAATTTTGATAATTTAAAGAGAATTGCAGTGAAGTAGTAATAGAAGAGTTATTTTTCGGTTAGGCGCAGCAATCGAATGACTTACGTTTTTGGACCTAATGGACCTTTACGCCATTCAGGCGATTCAACAGTTCCACAATCCGTACAGACATATTCTTCTTCTTCGACCTTTGGCTTTTTCTGCTTGTGTATAATTTTAACACACAAAGATGATAATTGACAATAAAATATTTATCATGGAAAAAATCATTGATTAGTTAATAATTGAATCAATAATTAATTAAAGTAATTAACGATCAATTAAATTGACAAGAAATAGTTATAGCAACCTTTTTCCTTGGTCTTGGAGCAGGAGCAGAAGTGGATGATTGGGAAGAAGGTTCGTTGCCAGATCTTGGCTCACCTGTTCCACTAATACCAATTCCTCCTCCTACTGCTATGCTTTTTTCGTCTCTCAATAACGAGGTAGATGATGATGAGGTGGTAGTGGTCGTCGTTATAGCTACCGGTAGAGTGGCAGTGGTAGTAGATGCAATATCTACATCCATCAAATTTTCGTTCAGTAAACATGGGTCACTTGATCCCGTGGAAATTCCCCTCGCGCGCTCACCCTCCTGATATCGTAAGCCGGTCAATAATTCCAGCGGATTACTTGTTTCATTTATAATATCTTCAACTGTCCGGTCAGCCGGTCCGCTACCGCCGATCGTCGCGGCAGCAGAGGTACTTGCTTCGGCAGATTGAGGCTCCGGGGGACCCACTAGGTCACGAAGTTGACGCCTCAGATTTTCATTTTCCACTTTCAATTCTAAAAAGGAATCAAGCATCGCAGTCGTTTTTGAAGGATATACTCTACCCATGCTAAAAAAGCAACGACATGTGCTATTCACGGTGGGGTTGTTATCACCAAAGTACGGATGGCCATTCACCTCCAGAATAATAAATTTGTCATCTTTTTTACGAAAACGATAATACAATGTGAAACTACTTTTTTGATTAATTGCCGTATTAAAATCACGAACAAACATGTCGACATCATCAACGTGAATAAAATCTTTAATGCTTCGACCAACTAATTCTTCGGGTGAATAGCCAACCAGCTCTTGTGACGAGGGAGAACAGTACATTAATTTTCCGATGGGTGAAATTACATGCAGGAAATCTTTAAGTTCTTCGATTATTCGTTGTGACCAGTTTTTTCGTTTTGTGAATTCTGTTAAATTGCTCCCGGTGTTAGTAGTAGTGAAAGTGCTAGCACTACCACTAGCCCCGATAGTACTTGGTACAACCCCACCGCTGGTGCTTGCCACAGTTTCTCTTCCACTCAAAAACGCGCTGCGTGCCGGATCCATCGAAAAACTTTCGCTCATAGTTTTTCGATCCATCAGTAATCTGTTAAGTTCCGAGGGATTTGGGTTGTTGAAGGAGCCCATTGTGTTTTTATTATTTTTGTGTTTGTATATAATAAGTGTGTGGTGACAAAAGTAGTTAGTGGTGGAATGTTAAAAAAACGTCCTTATTTTGGAAACAATTGCCGGGGGACTCTGACTCCAAAACGAGTTTAACGTACGCACATCCACTCAACTTCAAGTTTTATTCTTTTTTTATTTATTGATGTTTGTTGAAGATCAGTTGGTTGGTTGTGCATACATTATAACATTATTACATTTGGATTTTCTATCTCTCTCTGGCTTACACACACATATTCTATAAATTTCAAAATGGCACATTTACAACCACTCGAGCCTACATTGGCCCAACTCCCACATTTATCCGATGAAAACCTGATACGAGAAAAAAATCGTTTAGAGAACTCGATCTTTCATTTGAATCGATCAAACCGAGAAATGGCTCTG